CATCAGAAAGAGAAATGATAATAAATATCAAAAGAATAATATACAATAATAAAATCAATAAAAGAATAAATGGAAAAAGAAGAATAGGATATAATGAAATAATGATAACATCAAAATATTTTAATGATATTAAAGATTTTATTAATTTAGAAATTGGTGTTAAAAGATTTCAAGGAAATATGGAACGATTTCATTTTAATCCAATTCCATTAAATGAATATTCAAGAAAATTATTTCCTAATATTGAAACATTTCATAATTATAATAAATATGATGAAGAATTTGATGATGGAAGAATATTTAAAGAAATAATATGGTATTTAGTAGATTATTCAACATATTTAAAAGAGAAAGAAGCAGGAAATATATGTAAAAATATAGAATATACAGGAGATGATAGATATAAATATGGAACTACAATGCCACCAGAAGTTAAAATAATAGGAAATGGATGTTTTTCTGATTGTTATAAACTAACAACAATTAATATTCCATCATCAATTACATCAATAGGAAATTTGTGTTTTTATAGATGTTCATCATTACAATCAATTAATATACCATCAACAATTAGATTAATAGGAATTAATTGTTTTTATGAATGTTCATCACTAACTAATATAAATATCGAAAATGTAAAATATATAAGTGAAGAAAAAATAATTATAAATGAACCAATATTAGTTAGTATTTCAATACCAGAACATTTAAAAATGATAAATGGAAAGAATTATATAAAAGAAGATATTAATAAATTTACTATTCCATCAACAATTACATCAATAGGATGTGGATGTTTTTATGAATGTTCATCATTAACAACAATTAATATACCATCATCAATTACATCAATAGGAGGTGGATGTTTTTGGGGATGTTCATCAATAACAACAATTAATATACCATCATCAATTAGATTAATAGGAAATAATTGTTTTTATGAATGTTCATCATTACAATCAATTAATATACCATCATCAATTACATCAATAGGAAATGATTGTTTTTATAAATGTTCATCATTAACAACAATTAATATACCATCAACAATTACATCATTTGGGAGATCATGTTTCTATGGATGTGGTTGTGTTGAAGAATTAACACAAAATAAAAGAATACCAATAGAGTGTTTTGATAATTAAAATATAATAATAAGCAATAAAAAAAGTTGATAAACAAATGAAATGGTTATTACAATAAAATTAATTGAATTAAATTGAATACATTTATTTATATTATTGTTTGTATGTTATTTAATTTATTCTATCATTCTATTTCTTCTTTATTATTATATTTTATTCTTTATTTTATTCTTATTCTCATTATTAATTAATTATGTTATTTTATGTTCATGAAATACATCTTATTATGTCATTGTTTCATTATAAATATTCATTTATTTTTGTTATGAATTATGAAATAATA